AAAAAAAAAATAATAAAGGCAACTCAGAGTTCTATATAACATTGTCTGCTCCTGTATCACCCTTGACAGAGAAGTTTACCTTATTCCCACATGGTTTGCAGTGTCTCCCTTTGTACAACTAAATTTCTTCCCGGGGGACATTTTCTTTACTTTGGACATGGAAGCAAATGAGTAGCTAAGGGGCATAGATTCAAGTGCAACAAATGATGCTGTGATGTCTTTAGGGAAAAGTGTGGTGGGGATTTGTTTTGAGGCTTGAAGAAAGACCAGAGATAGAAACCACTATTAAAAGCTATTATCATCAGAGTCATTGGAGGGGAGAGATGACAATGGTTGTTCCCTGAGAGAGGCCTTATCTTAATGGGACCAAGAGGCCTGGCACTCAGCTATCTATTTGGTTCATAAGCAGAGCATTTTTTAAACTTTCAAAGGACACTGTCATTTTCTAATTTAGCATGTCATGTTCACTCTTACTTCCTTACCCAAGAGTCCAGGTAAATATTAAGTAATATGCTTCTTTGCAAACAGCTGAGCAGTTCAAGGAAGTATTTTCTCAGGTTTTAAGCCAGCTCAGGTCTTAATCAACATTTCAGATGATCCTACCAGCTGAATTTGTAGATCCTTTGCAAGATTTCTTAGGGGAGGAGGAAGCCATAGAACATGATACATCATGTTTTTATGGCCAGCAGTTAAAATCAAGTTCCCCATTTTTAAAGACATTTTTCAAAAGAAAGCAATAAAAATGTAAAACCTCTCTCCATTTTGAAAGACTATTACTTCTATAGACCATTATGATTTACAGAGACTTTTTTGCTATTTCAAATAAAACAAAGGAACCAAAGAAAAACAATATGTTCCATGCCTGTGAGTAGTTGTCCAGAGAACAGTGCTTAGTTGAGTTAAATGGAGACAAATATATCAGCCTGCTTAATTATAGCTCAAGCATACCTAATTCTTCCACGTCCACACATGTGGCAAGGTCCCTCGAGGACCCACATTGTAAAGCAAACCTTACAGGAGAGAGGTTCTGTCCTCAGGCCCCTGAGATGATCATTAACTCTGAGAAGTCAAAAAGAATGAATGTCCAGATAACCGGATGATGATGTAGAGTATGGAGAGTTCTTTATCAAATCTCCCTAAACTGGTAGCTGCTACTCTGGCTGAGAAACTATCACCTAGAGCTGAAGGGGCTCCTAAGGATTAACTAGTCCAGGCTGTTTAAAATACTTGGTATGTTTTATATTTGCTATATACAAGAGAATTTATGTAACATATCTGTCTGTTACAAAGTGCTACAATACAACAAATACCCATGAACCTGCACTCAGTTAAGTTCTAGGACATGCTCATGCTCATTACTCTGTCTCCTGTGTACTGTGTTTTCTCTCACTCTCTTATTTATTTATTTATTTTTTTTTTGAGAGATTTTTTGCTATAGGGTGCATGTGCTGGCCAGAGAGACAGAGACAGAAAGCAAGAAATCACCCCCCAGGGAGGATGGCCATACCACAATCTTGTCTCCTCCATTATTCTCCTCTCAGGATCTTGGGCACATATGTATATGCACCCGGTGTGAGTTCTAAGCCTCCGAGTCTGAGACTCGAACCGCAATTGACTACATGGGAGTCCAGCGATGTAACTATTATGCCATCTGCTGGTCCTGCTCCTGTGTACTTTCCTCACCACCTTCCACTCCCAGAGTAACCACTGTCTTGGTTTTATATTTATTCTGCTGGGTTTTTATATATAATGACTATATTATTTTGGTTTGTTTTTGAACTTTTTAAAAATGATCCCTGCTGCATGCAGACTGTGGTACCATGGGTCTTTCACCCAATTTCATACAAACTTAAACCTCAAGTTGCAGTTCATTTTTATTGCCCTGTAATATTCTATTGTGGGAACATGCCACAACTCCCTAAGTAGCTTCTTATCAGTGGACATCTGGCTAGTTTCCAGTCCTTGTGATCCCAAGCGTTGTTGTGGTTCACATTCTTCCACACATCCCTCTGGAGTGAGTACCTAAGGTCTGCAAGTGCTCTACTTTACCAGCTAGTGTGCAATTGTTTCATACCACCCGTTCTCCCATGACCCACATGGAAGAGTTTCCATTGTTAGAACTCTTAATGTTTTTTTGTTTTCTGGGTTTTTGTTTGTTTGTTTGTTTTTGCTAATTTTGTGGCTATTGGCTACCTCATTATGATCCTGATTTGCATTTCCTGAGTACTCAGTGGTTGAAATCTGTTATACATTCATTGGCCATTCATGTGTTCTCTTTCATGAAGTGTCTGTTTATGTGTTTTCCCCATTTCTCTACTGGGTTTATTTCTTACTGATTTATAGCTGCGTTTTATATGTTCTGCATACTAACCCTTTGTTAGTGATCTCTGTTGCAAAAAATCTCTCAGTTGGTAGCTTGGCTTTTATTCAGTAATTTTCTTTGGAGTATGTTTGATGAATAGAAAAGTTCTTTATATATATATATATATATATATATGAAAGAGTAAATAGGCACAAAGAGGTAATGTGACTTCCTCAATGTGCCAGTGTTACTAATAATAGCCATTATTTCTTGAGAACTTGTTCTCTGCCAGGCATTACAACAATCACTTTACATACATGTTGTCTCATTTAATCTTCACAGTGGGTCTAAGAGATAAACTGCTGTTACTCTCCATTTTACAGAGAAAGAGAGACTCAGTGAGGTCAGGTGGCTGCCTATGGTCACACAGCAGCCAGCGCTGGGCCCTGTGCTGGAACCCAGGGTGGGCCAATCCTGAAGGAGACTCACTCCCACCTGCACTGCTGTGCTGGGCAGTTAGGAGCAGAGCCAGGCCAGGGCAGCTGTCTTCCCATGGCACCACTCCGTCTCTCACTTAAACCTTGGTCCTCCCAACACAGCTTCTCCAGGAATCACCATATGATTACTCCTATGGTGAGTACTGTCCCCCTGGGACAGTCAGCCCCACCTGAGCCTATGTCACATGACCATTATCTGCAACATACGCAGAGCCCTTCCTTCTGTTTCAAAACACCGCTCTCTGTCACTGACAACTCATGCTCATTCCTGAGATTGCAAGTTGCTATTTTCGAAAAGTTACTTTGCGTGGCATCTTGCCCTGGGGGCCCTTGGGCTGTGTGATCTGGGTATCTCAATTGGCAGGACACTGTGCGGACCTCCGGATTTGATTAAATGGGTGTAATCTGCAACTTGGGCTGTTGCAAAACTCCTCTGCCTCACCCACACCCCCTTGCTCAAAACAGCGAGGTGGCCGGTAGCAGGCCTGGAGGAAGCGAGGCTCCCAATTCAGCCAGTGCCCTGCAGGTCAGAGTTGACTGGATCCAGGCCTCTTCTACTATGGTTTTCACTAGGAGCAGAAATGAGTATCATTCGTTCATTCATTTCCTCAACACTCCCTAGAGTCTCCCCCTTGTGCCAATGCTGGCAGTGGGCTCTAGAGCAGGCAGTGGGATGGTCAGCCCTCCCTGCCCTGTTGCGTTAACATTCCAAAGGGAGAGACAGACCCTACTCCAGACTGTGATAAGGGCTGTGGAGTGAATTAAAGGGCATGTGAAGAGGAGCCACTGGGGGACTTTCATTAAAGGTGAATTCAGGGAAGGTCTCTCTAGGGAAGGATACTGAGCCAGCTAGGTGGAGAGACCAGGGAAGGCCGAAAAAAAAGGCAACGAGGGTAGCAAGTGCCAAGGTCCTGGGGCAGAAAACCATACATGACTTGGCCTGTTCTGAGGAATAAAAGCAGACCTGGGTGGCAGAAGCATGGACAAGAGTGACAGATGAGGAAGGAAGCAGGGAGCCGGTCCTTTGAGTAGTGAGTACTACAGACCTGGCTCTGTGCATGGAGCTAGTGATCAGGGGCCAGGGGCATTATGAGGTCCTCACAAACATGAGTCCAGGAGGAGATACAGTTTGCCACAAGAGCCTGTGGCCAGGGTACCTTCCCAAGGTAGGCTGTGATTGTCAGGGAAGACCTCCAGGAGGAGTACCATGTAAGCAGAAGCCTGACAAAGTGGCCCTCAAAGTGTGGTCCCCAGACCAGCCGCATCAACAGCACCTGTGAATTTTTTAGAACTTCCTGTTCCAGTACCTCACCCCAGACCTACTGATCCCACAGAGCACAAAGCACCGAGCCTTTCACTTAATATCAATAGATGTTTCATGAATGGCTCCTGAATTGCAAGCGTTTGAGTTCCAGAATGTGCCCCACAGTTGAGATGCACAAAGTGGTGAAAACATACCCAGGTCAGCAGTGCAGTCCATCTTGGCTTGGAATGAGGACAAGGACAGGGTCACGTGGGTTTAGCTGATTGCAAGGTGCAAAGGTAGAAATGCGTCTCTACAGCTCTGCCAGTGAAACTTCACACTCGGGCTCCATGTGCCCCAGGCAAGGTGTGAAAGGAATTAACATTCACTGCAGCAGGTTAGAAGCCTTCAAACTGGTTTTGAGTTACAAAATCAGGCAAAAAGAAAAAGAGAGATGGGAAATTAGGTTATCTTTAACCTCAGTTAACCCAAGACCAACTGCAAAGGACGTTACCAAATGATCTGCTAAGAAAACCTACCTTGGGGCTGAGAATAAACCTGATACTTCAGCCCCCAGGGTCCTTTTGAAAAGAAAGTTCTCTGCATGAGAACTCACAAAAGGCACCTCCTCCACAGCGATTACAGTATCAGGCCTCGACACTTTAATTGCTCTGATGGAAACAAGTTAATGGGGTTTTAATAAAAATAGACCAAATAAGCATTGAGGTCCCCTATTTTTTATAACTGGAGGCACTGGCAGAGATCCAATTCCACAGGTGTCAGGGTGGTCTTCAGGCAGTGGGACCCTCCTGAGGATTGCCTAAGGGAAGTAAGTTTATGGAGTCAGTATTTCGCAAGTGTCAAAAAAAAAAAAAAAAACAGCTTAATTCTATCAACTATAGCCTGGTCTTTCTTCGATCCAGAGAAAAGGAGCTCAAATTATGCCTCCCAAATCACTATTGGCAGTGAAGGCCTTGTGGGAGTCGGGAGAATTCTGCGTGTCCTATGCCCCAGCACCCATGTCATCTGAGTCCATCACTGAGACTTAAAATAGGCTAAGGAGGTCTGGGGTGTTCAGGCAGGGGGAGCAGGGAGTGCAAAGTCCCAGAGGTGGAAGATAGCATTAGGGATTCCAAGATGGAGGAAGTCAAGTGTGGCTGGGACAAAGTCAGGCAAGAAGAGAAGTGAGATGTTGCAGAGATCAGCAAGGGCCATGTCCTACAAGAGTTGAGAGATCAGGGCAAGGATATGCCTATAAAAGCAGTGGGGAGGAGCCAGCAGGTGGCATAATGGTTAAGGCACTGGACTCCCACATGATCCCATTTGAGTCCTGGATGTGGAAACTCACGCTGGGTGCGTGTGCGTGCGTGCCCAAGATCCTAAGAGGAGAATGGAGGAGAAGGGATTGCGGGACATGCACATGCACCCTATAGCAAAAATCTCTCTAAAATAAAGAAAAAAGGGACCGGCAGATGGCATAATGGCTGTCACTGGAATCCCATATAGTTGACTGCGGTTCAAGTCCCGGACCCAGCAGCTTGAACTCCTGCCCGGCGCGGTTGTGTGCGTGCCCAAGATCCCGAGAGGAGAATGGAAGAGAAGGGATTGTGGCATGGCCATCCCCCTGGGAGGTGATTTCTCTCCTTCTGTCTCTCTGTCTCTCTCTGTCTTTCTGGCAAGTTCACACACCCTATAGCAAAAAAACTCTCAAAAAATAAAATAAAATAAAGATAAAGAATAAAGAAAGAGGGAGAGAAAGAAAGAAAGCACTGGGGAAACGGAAGTGACACATCTGACTTACCTGGCTGGAAGGTTGGAGACCGTTGTGGCTTCTTCTGCTGCTGGAACAGAAGGAATTGGCAGGATGGATTTTGGAAACAGGGAGGCCTCCTGTCGTAATGAAGTGGCTAAAGTGCCTGGAACCAGGGCAACAGCCGTGACAATGTGGCAGTGACTGGATTCCAGATGGCTTGAATGTGGCAGGTTTAGGCCAGGCTAATATGAGGGGACTTCAAAACTTATGCGGAAAAGGAAAGTACAAGTTTATTTTGGTGAAAATCTTGAAATTCATGCAGTTTTAAAAATAATATGCATGATCAGGCCAGCAGGTGGCATGGTGGGCAAGGCACTAGACTCCCACATGGCCAAGCATGGTTCAAGTCCCAGACCCAGTGACTTGCTTTCTCACTTTCTTTCTCTCTCTCTCTCACGTGTACTTATTATAGCAAATTTTTAAAAAATAATTATAATAAATGGCGCCAGCAGGTGGTGTGGTGTTTAAGGGTGCTGGACTCCCACATGGCCAATTATGATTCAAGTCCTGGACCTGGTGGCTTCCTTTCTTGCTTTATCTCTCTTGCTTTCTCTGTCTCTCTCTGGTCAAATTGAAATAAATAAATAAAGTTAAATAATTTAAAAATAATAAATAAATAAAACTAAATAATTCTTTTTAAAAGTAACATACATGCATTTTCTATGAGCTTTTTGAAGACTGCCGTATAGCCCAGCCTGGGTAACAAAGGCACTGTGACCTACCACCTCTGTCCTGGGCTTGCGTGCATCTCACCTGGCTGTACGCCCGGCAGCATTCTGAACCTTCCCTGGTGTTTGTCACTTACTTTCCACACTGCTCCTAGATCTCCACAATGAATGTTGTCACTTGGGACATGACAGCCTGTCTGTCCATTTGTCCTTCATGGAGGACTGAGCCTGTTTCTGATTCCTATCAATTTGCAAATAGAGTCCTGTGGTACTCCAATGGGGGGAGGCACATTTTGGGATTGTATTGGAAGAAGGTTGCCTTTTTTTTTTTTTTTTTTTTTTTGGGGGGTTTTTTTTATTGGGCCGGTGTGTGAACAACAGAGAGAGACAGAAAGTGAGAAATCATTCCCCAGGGGGATGGCCATGCCGCAATCCCTTCTCTTCCAATTTCCTCTCGGGATCTTGGGCGTGCATGCACTCGGCATGCACTCGGGTCTGGGACTCGAACCGTGGTCAACTACATGGGAGTCCAGTGACATACCCATTATGCCAACCGCTGGCCCCAGAGGGTTGCTTTTAAACTATTCCATATTTTAATGTGTTTTTTAAAGTTTGGTCACATAAATAATACATATTCATGTATATACAGACTTGTAATAGAGTCACATAACCCAGAGCAAAACATAGTTTCCTTTCCCATCACCTGCCACACCCACACCCCACACCCAACTCTAGTCCCTTTTCTGGAGGTGACATCTTCAACAAACAGTTGTCTTCTCTCCAGTTCCTTTTTAATCCCTAACATTCATACAAGTTAGATATAGATAGGTTAGATCTTATACATTCTGATCTGTAACCTCCACTTATACCTAAATACATTTTGTCAGAGATCTACCTACCTTGTTTTTTGTTTTTGTTTTTTAATATATTTGTAGAGGTTTTTGTTTGTTTGTTTGCTTAGCATGGAGAGGTTGTGTTTTATTTGACCACGAGGACATGTACAGATGCTCACAGCACTGCAGTGAGTGTTCCTGGACTTCTGTTCAGACTCACATGCAAGGATTCCTGTAGAAAAGACCCTGAGAAGTGAAATTGTTGGATCAAAAGGTATATTATTGGGAACCAGCAGTTAGCGTAATGGCTATGTCGCTGGACTCCCACGTAGCCGACCGCGGTTCGTGTCCCGGACCCGGTGGCTTAAAACTCACGCCGGGCGCATGTGCGTGCGTGCCCAAGATCCCGGGAGAAGAATGGAGGAGAAGGGATTGCGGCGTGACCATCCCCCCTGGGGGGTGATTTCTCACTTTCTGTCTCTATGTCTCTCTCTGTCTGTCTGGCGAGCGCACGTGCCCTACAGTGAAAAAAAAAATCTCTCTCAAAAAAAAAAAGGTATATTATTTAAATTTTTGATAGTCACTATCAAAGGATCTTTCCAAAACCTATTTTTTTTTCTTAAAACTAATTACGAAAGTCATTCATGTTCCTGTAAACATGTAAACACCACATACAGGACGAGAAGAGAAGTATTTAAACATCCATGATTTCATTACCCAGAAATGACAACTGTTAACATCATCTATTCGAATCCTTTCACCATGCATACACACTCTCGTGAATTTTTTTATGAAAATGTAGTCATAATGTAGATTCCCTAGTAAGCTGCTTTTTGCAGTTAACTATTGACTGTATCACAGAGATCTTTGCAAGCAATTAAAAATTCTTCTGTGGTGACATTCTAGGTTAACATGATTTGGGGACAAGAAGAGGAAGTTTATGTGGCAAGAGAGAACCTATAAAAGGTTTTTAAAGACTGCTAAAACCAACATTGGTATCCCGGGAATTTGTTATGAAGGAGAATTATTCTATAATACGGGTTCCTGGATGTCTTTAAGTATCTGTAAAGCTGTCTCCTTCCCTGGAGTTTATATGAACATACAGTCTGTGTATCATTTCAGGATGGGAGACATTTGTCTCTCCCCTCAGATGCTCAGGAACAGAATCTCTTGTCTACAATGTCATTTTCAGTAATGGCATAGAGTGCCTCTGTATGCTTGGAACATAGATCATTTAATCCATAGAGCACTTACGAGAGTGTGGTCAGGGGACTGGCAGATGGTGTGGTGGTTAAGGTGGCTGGACTCCCACATAGCTGAATGTAGTTTGAGTCCCAGACCTGGCATCTTTCTCACTTCCCTTTTCTCTCTGTCTCTCTGGTCAACTTCAAAAATATAAAATAAGGCCAGCCGCGCGTGCGGCGGAAGAAGCCGCCA